GAGAGAGAGAGAGAGAGAGAGAGAGAGAGAGAGAGAGAGAGAGAGAGAGAGAGAGAGAAGGGAGAGAGAGAGAGAGAGTGTGTTCAACCCACCCAGTCAACACGGTACCATCCAATCCGGAGTGTCACCCATGCCGCATAACACTGCTAAGCCCATAGAGTACCACCTGCCAGTGCCACAGGGTGCCCTTTTTTTCGTGTTTTATGAGAACAGAGAGAAAGAGAGAGGGGCACCACACACTGTGCACGTGCGTGTCACACAGACACACAGACACACACACACACACACACACAGACACAGAGAGAGAGAGAGAGAGAGAGAGAGAGAGAGAGAGAGAGAGAGAGAGAGAGAGAGAGAGAGAGTTCATATTACACATGTCATGTGCATAATCTCTATGCTGTTGTCATGATATTGTTGCTTCCGAAGTTGTGTGCTATGTGCCTGGCCACTTGTCTTTTCCGATCTGTTGCACCTGTCGTGGCATGCCTTTTGACTTGCTATCTTTTATTATTTTTGAATTACTACTTAGTTCTTGGACTCTTTTGTGCTTGTTGCAGGTATTGTTCCGCATTTCAAGATTCATTTTGTATTTGCTTCTCTCCTAGCATAGAGGATCTCAATATGATCCGTATATTGATGCATCATGTCACAAATCGACCACAGCAGGAAACTACCGCATTCCCACGAGCACTCCCACGAGCACAGCACACCCTCATCATGTCTGTGCCAGGTTGGAAAGATAGCGTGTACACATTCCAATGATGGTGCGTTGTTTTTGGGTGAAGACGGTCATATCTACAATTTCACTGAAGTTAGCTGAACTTACCACGTCGAATGCATAAGCACAGTTGTCTCCTGCTGCAGTGTAAACCCTCCTCCTCTGCACAATAACAGCACATACACACACAAAAAGAAGTCAGACCCCTACGTCTTCATCGCAAGGATCATCCGAGTTGAACTACTCTGTTTTCCAGACCAAAGCAGCCTTGGAACTGATGTTGCCTGTCTGAGAGAATAACCAAGTCATTTCATCAGAGTTGAGGTATCCTGTTTCTGGCAACAAAAGCAGTCCCGAAATATGTGCCTCTGCGAGAGTATGCTTGAGTCACTTCAGAGGTTCCATTCTCTGTGAGGGTCTGCAACATAAAAGAAAAAAGTTTAGGGCCATGCAGGCATCGGCCTAAGACCGTGCCCAACCTAGCCACAACAGTAGGTTCGTACATTAAATTTGTCTTTTTCAGTACGTTCAAACAAGTTGAAACAACATAATATATAACTTCAGTAGGTTCAAACAGTAGGTGCAAACAAGTTGAAACAAGTTCAAACAACATAATATATAACTGCACGTACATTAAATTTGTCTTTTTCAGTAGGTTCGTAGTTGTCCACATTGCTTGTGCAAACAAGTTGAAACAAGTTGAAACAGGATAATATATAACTGCATGTACATTAAATTTGTCTTCTGTACTTGCGTATTCTGTGGAATTTAGCCTAGTGGGCCATAGTGGCCCATTCTTCAGTCTACAAGACTGCTCGTGTTGCAAGGAACCTGACTGTTCATCACTTGCTGGAGTGCATCAGATCACATGCATATTCACATATTTCACAGATTGCGATGTCTCACACAAAGCCCAATAGAAAATGAATGAGAA